TCTGAGATTCTATTTTCTGTATGATCTAGTCTGCTTTTAATACTTTCAAGGGAGATTTTGACTTCCTGTATTATAGCCTTCATCTCTAACAGTTCCCTCTGATTCTTTTGTAAAATATGAAATTCCTCTTTTAGATCTTGCATGAATTTCCTCACCTCCTGGGACTCTTCAACTCCTTTCTCCTTCCTCTTCCACAGTTCGTTGTCTCTCTTCTCTTCCATCTCTGTTAGCTTTGCCATTATGAATGTTCTAAATTTTTTATCAGACATTTCCATGATTTCCATTGAACTGTGTGTGGATGAAGAGGAGTTATCCTTTTCCCTTGGAGGAGAGGTATTTTCCTGCTTTCCCATATTCCTGTGGTCCTGCAACGATTTCTAGTCATCTGGTGGATGGTCGATTTCTTCCCAAACTTGGAAGTTCAATCATGTGAGTTTTTTTGTGCTGGAGACTGGAATTATCAGTAAAAAAAATCTTCATTTCTCTGTTTCCCCCAAAATGCCTAGTTCTCAGGAGCCACGAAGGTGTCTCTTCAAGAAGGCCTGTTCCCTTGCCTCGTCTGGCTGGCATTATTTCTTTATGTAGATATTAAAATGAAAATAAAATGCTAGCATAGAGTTAGTGACAGTGCAGCAGTTAAGTACCACACACAGAAAACCAGGTCCAGGGTCAGCCTATGGGATGGTGGTTAGTGTAGCTGGATCCCACATGGCTGACTGCACAGTTTGAGTCCCAGACATGGTGGTTTCAGAAACAGACCAAGCAGGTGTGGATGAATCACCAAGATCCTGACAGGATGGAGAAATAGAGGAAAAATTACTGCAGTGTTAACACACCTCATCGAGGGTTACTCTCTCTCTCTCTTTGGCAAGTGCACATGGGCTCTGGCAAAAAACAAACATAAAATTCGAAGAGAAAAAAATGATATAAGGTATCTGTTAATCTGTTAGGAATGAACAGTCAGTATAGAATTGAGTGAGAAAAGTTCCATTTCTTCAGTAAAACTGCCTTGGTTTGACCATGTGGAACCTTATCCTGAAGGCCCGTGGCTTCTTCTGCCGCTAGCTCTTTTGTTGGAGGCTGAATTATTAGTAGAAAGTCTTCATTCCCTTAAAAATCTAGTTCACAGTAGCCATGTGGAACCTTATCCTGAAGGCCCGTGGCTTCTTCTGCCGCTAGCTCTTTTGTTGGAGGCTGAATTATTAGTAGAAAGTCTTCATTCCCTTAAAAATCTAGTTCACAGTAGCCATGTGGAACCTTATCCTGAAGGCCCGTGGCTTCTTCTGCCGCTAGCTCTTTTGTTGGAGGCTGAACTATTAGTAGAAAGTCTTCATTCCCTTAAAAATCTAGTTCACAGTAGCCATGTGGAACCTTATCCTGAAGGCCCGTGGCTTCTTCTGCCTAGAGAAATTCCTTTTAAAGAATACAGATGCCCTGGGTCTGGCTCAGAGGTGCAATACTAATGTGCAGTTGAGGTGCTCCTGAATCCATGTGGAAGATCCTGTGTTCAGTTCCCCGGATGACCTGTAACACGGGACTCTTTGCCAGAAAAAGACCATGTTGAGGGGACTTGCCTTTCTCCTGCTCTGTCTCTGACTCTTGCACTCATGAAAAGAATAATACAAACTTAAAAAAATGGTGCCCATTGTTACCATACATAATGTTGTATAATATAAAAATAAAATAAAATGAATCATAATTTAAAGAGAGAAAGTATTATATTCAGACAACTTAGGTGCAAGGAAAACTCAAAAAGAAATTTGAAAAACATGCAGAACCTCACAGAGATGTATGATGGTTATGTATAAATCAGAAATTGCAATGAAAATATATGGATAATATATAAGAAGAAGTTCTATATTATTATATATAATAATAAGAATATATAACTGATTTTCTCTAACTCTGGAAATGAGCTATGAATTGAAATTCCCTCAGCCATGCTGGTCGCTGAAGATTCTCTCATCTCTTCCCCAGCCTCTTCCTGTATTCTCTTTACCCGGCAACAGAGAATCAGCTCTGTTATTTCCCTGATTGGTTAAGCCTAGCCTTGCTGCTTCCTCTTATCCCCTTTCTGGCCATTTTTAGGGGATAACTCACATTTTCAGAGCTCGTGTCCAACTCCACCCTTCCTCAGTTCCTTGTCATTATTCTTGTGCTCACGGTCGGTTATAGACCCCAGAATGCGTGCCCTGAAGAGAATGTTCCAGACCAAAGCTGTCATGCTGAGTGCCCTCTCCTTGGCTTACTTGCTGAGTCTTCAGGGAGCTGGGGCCATCCAGGGTGAGTGTCCAGGAGGAGCCAGAGAGGTGGAGGGGAAAAGTGCGTTTTTTCCAGGAATTGTTGCTTTAGGGATTAGTGGTTTGGGGATTTGTCGGTCTATTTACTCTGTATCTTTCTCTCTGCACTCCTGTGTGTGAGAGTCCCATTTGTTTCCTCTCCTGATAATAACAGCAGCAAGAGCAGCCACTTACTAGACATCTATTTATATTTCACACGAAAGTTCAGTGGTGAATTTATTACCTCCATGTCAGAGCTGAAAAAAACAAAGTTCCAAAAGATTAACACATTTTCCAAGGTTACACACCAATCCAAAGAACAAACATTTAAGGGCAGACCTAATTCTGATGATCATACTTTGCATTCCTCAGACTCCTGCACACAGTGAATTTCTAATTAAATCCTAGGGGGCTCCATGCCCCTCATCTCTCCTGGATCCCCAGCTTCTGCTTTGTGTGGCTGCTTTTGGGGGACTCGAAGGCAGGGCTCTGCGTGTCGGAATATAGGACAGCAAGTGCCGAGAGTGTTCCTGTATTCCCCCCGCCCCCTCTCCCAGGATACTAGGACCATGCCTGGATCTCTGTGGGTGGATTGCACGCCTTCTTCTTCTAAGACAGCCATGTTTCATGTTTTTGCTGACCCTGTGATTCAGGTCCTGAGTGACCAGGGGGACTATTGTGGCACTGGGGGGTCTAGTCTGGATAATCACAAGGACTCAGCCAGCAATTTTAAGTCACAATGAATGCTCAGTTCTCTGCTGCTGACATCAGGCATCAAGCCTGGGCCTGGTATTGTCATTTAAAAATGCAGTGCTATGAAAATTTGGAATTGATAAC